TCTTGATGGTTTGCTGCATTCTGTTTCCTAGTGTCTTATTCAGGATTTGTGCATCTATGTTCCTTAGGGAGATTGGCCTAGAGTTTTCTTTTTTGGTTGGCTCTGTCCAAACAGTTTGGGAGAATTGCTTCCCTTTCAATTTCATTAAAGAGTTTAAGGAGTATTGGCATTAAATCTTTTCTAAATTTCTTTTTTCCCCTAAATTTCTTATAGAATTCAGCAGTGAATTTTCTTTGTTGGTAAGTTTTTAATTACATTTTTAGTCTCTTTAACTGGATTATTCAGAATTTTTGTATCTTCTTGATTCAGTTTTGGTAATTAATATGTATCTAGGAGTCTGTCCATTTCTTCTGTGTTTTCCATCCTATGAGAGTAAAGATTTTTGTTTTTTATCTTTTTATTTTATTTTAATTTGAAGAGTGAAAACAGAAGCAAAAACATAGGAAAAAATGACAGAAACATTGTAACATACAACAATACATATGTTACAGATTTTCGAAACAGAGATCCCTAATTAACAATGGTTGCTATATTATTTGTTTTTTTTTTCATTTTAATGAGAAAAAAGATTAACAGTGAAACAGTTTCAAGTCAGGTTAGTATGACAGTTACAATAAATAAGACGTTGCATATTGTTGTCTTCCTAGTAGTTATTCAGAGGACAAGATGGAGACATGATATATTGTCTAAACAATATTAGTACAAACCTTTCCTCTCAGTGAACTAAAAGAAAGTAGCTTTATATCTATCCTATCTTGGTTAGGATAGATATATAGTTACATTCTCTTAATAAATAGAGGGACTTGTTCTAATAGTGTTTGTAAATAGGATATCATGTCCGCATCTTGTACAGCAAACAACCACTAGGAAGAATGTATGCAATGTGTTAATTATTGAAACTGTCCTACCAATGTGGTTTAAAACTGTCTCATTGCTATTTGTTTCTCAATAAAATTATGGAAAAAAAAGAAAAAAATCTATCTTATATATATATATTTTTTTCGCACATGCACATACGCACCCACACCTACACAGACCAAAAAAGTCTTTATATCCCCATTTTTTGTTTTGTTTTGTCAGAGGTGGGTGCTCCATTGTTGTTAGAGAAGCTGTATTTGGAGACGTCTTTAAAGGACTTTTTCATACTTGATGCCAGACCAAAGATTGTAGATACTTGAATTCAGCAAAATAACCCAATATGGCTCAATAGTCCATGTTAGTATTTGGTTATCAGCACAACTGGCAGTTGTCTGAAGTTGTTGATGTGAGCCTTTTACAGCTCAGCATATTAATATAGCTTTACTTTTTATACCTCGTGGTTACAGTTTTCTGCTGGATGGTTAAGACCAGGTTAAAACAAGACGTATATAATTTAAAATGTAACTTTTGTATCTGACAAGGCCAGTCAGATCCCCTCAGGATTTACCCTGGAGCCATGTACAGCTGACCTCGTGGGTCTTTTGTCAATGTCAGCCGTCTGGATGAGTCACAGCCATTGCTTGACCATTTTGCTCTATGAGAGTAAAGTTTTTTGAAGTAGGTTGTAGGGATCCGTTGATCTCTCTGGTCCTTGGGAGAAAACGGTGAGAGGATTTAGAAAATAAAGACAAGAGATAATAGCTGATGTCAGGTGGTGACCATGCCTGATTGGCAAAGGACCCTTGAATAACAGTAGGGGTATTTATTTATACTTTTGCAAAGTTACAAGATAAAAGATTGCTTAGCAACTAATATCCCTCAATGTCCAGGCAGGGTGTTTTTCTCAAGACTGAGATAGCTTGATTGCTTTAGGCAATGAGGCCTCATCCTGCTGTCCCACATAAGATCAATTTCAAGCTTTAGGGCTCCCAACATTAAGTATTGATGATCTTCTGAATTTCTGTGCGATCTGTAGTAATCTTACCTTTTTTATTCTTCAGTGCATGAATTTGAGTCTCCCCCTCCCATTTTTTATAGGGTAGGCTAAGGGTTTATCAGTTTTATTTATTCTTCCAAAGAACCAACTCTGATTCATTAATTCTTTGTATTGTTGGTCTCAGTTGTGTTCATTCGGCTCTGATCTGTATAATTTTCTCTCATATGGGCCTTTGGCTCATCTTGCTCTTCTTTTATGCTTATTGTGTTTTCTTAATATAAGAATTCTCCTCTGTAAATTTCCCTATGAGGACTGCTTTTATTGTGTCCCGTAAATTCTGGTATGTTGTATCTGCTTTCTTGTTGTAAATAGTGTTTGATTTCATCTGTGATGCATTGGTTGTTTAGGAGGGTGTTATTTAATTTCCATGTGTTTGTGGAATTTTTGTGGTTTCTTTTGTCATTAATTTCCAATTTCATTGTACTATGGTCAGATAATGTACATGGGATAATTTCACTTCCTTTGCATTTACTTAAGCATGTTCTATGGAGAATGTTCCTTACACAGCTGAGATAAATGTGTATTTTGATGATGTTGGATGGAATACTGAAAATATTTCCATTTGTTCATAAGTTTGGTTTAATTCTTATATCTCTTGCTGATTTTTTTGTCTAGTTGATCTCTTTGTGACAATGGGGTATGAAGATTTCCAGTTACAATTGTGTTATTTCTTACTTTATTTTTTATTTTTTATTTTGCGGAACCGGGGATTGAACTCAGGCCCTTGGGCTTGCCAGGGAAGCACTTAGTCCACTGAGCCATCTCCCCGGCCCCTTCTTACTTTATTTTTTATGTCTATAAATAATTGTCTTATATAGTTGGGTGTTCTCATGCTTGGTGCACACATATTTATAATCGTTATCCCTTCCTCTTGTGGGTTTCCTCTAACTAGTATGTTGTGACTTTCTTTATCTCTTTTGATCATTCTTTGTTGAAGTTTACATTGTCTGCAAACAGAATTCCTACTGATGCTTTTTCTGGGTTCCTGTTGCATGGAGTATTGTTTTCTATCCTTTGACTTTCAGTCTATGAATTTCTTTTTTAGTTAAATGTGTTTCTTGTATACAGCATATTTTTGGATCTTATATTTTGATCCATTCTGTCCTTCTGTTTATTTTGATTGGTGAATTGAAGCCATTTAAATTGATAGTTATAACCGATATGTATTGGCTTGTCTATTATATTTCCCTGCTCTTGGTTACCTGCTTTCCTCTCTGTTTAATTGTTTGCCCTGCCTGGTGGTTTCTTTCTGTTATTGTTCTTGGAATTGTGATCATTTTTTTCTCTGTTTGGACCTTTTAGTACCCTTTGTAATGTTGATTTGGTGGTCATAAATTTCTTCAGTTGTTCTTTATCATGGAAGAATCCTATTTCTCCATTGAGTTTTGAAAGAGTTTTACAGCGTACATCAATCTTGGTTGGAAGATGTTTTCTTTCAGGACTTGAACTTCACTCCACACATTTCTTGACTTGAGGGTTTATGTTGAGAAGTCTGTCATGATTCTGGTGGGCTTTCTTTTCTAGGTGGTCTGCTTCTTTTCTCTAACAGCTTTTTTTTCTTGTACCCTGAGCAATTACTTTATTTTTTTTTATATTTTAAAGAGTACAGATTAGAATTAAAACAAAAAATTACAAGTGATTCAGAATTTCACTTAACAAAGTAATATGAATTTCACAGTATTTGTTGTGATACATAGTCTAAGAGCTTTGAATATTATGTTTTTGTGCAGAATTTCTGGAATCTTGATTTTTTTTGGAATTTGATTACTAACTATATGTCTTAGTATAGTTTTATTTTGATTATTGCTCTTTGGATTTCTATATTTTTCATTTATTTATATGTCAAACTCTTTTTTTAAATTTAGAAATTTATTGTTTAATCCACAAGCTTCATATAGCTTTAGTTTAAAAAACAAAAACAAAAAAACAAAACAGTGAAACCAAGACACTATGTCAAAGTTCGGGCCCTTCTTCCAGCTTCCAAATACAAGAGCTCTGAACATTATATATCCCAATTGAAAGTATAAGAAAAAAGTATGAATGGAGCCATGACATTTCAAAAAACAAAGATTTCATATAACTGAAGGATCTATCCTTCCTTCCTGGGAT